GGAAGAAATAGCATCGAAGATGACCCCGGTAGTCTTGCAACTGATTTCACCGAAGAAAATATCCAGAAAGTGGAAGCTATGATTCGAAGAGACAAAATATGCATATAGCATGATATTGAAGAGTAACTGAACATTGGATCGGGGAGTGTTGCACAAATCCAGCATAGATTCCTTCGAGTTAGAAATAATATTTTCCTGTTGGATACCCAATAATTTTTCAGATGAGCAGAAGGTGGCCCGAAAGGAATGTTGCGAGTAAATACTCCAAAGTCTTCAAGAACGCTCAAAATGAAGTTTTGCACACACTAGTGGGGACCGGGGCGTTTCGTAGAAAATCGATTCACCGAAAGCTCAATTTCGCGGACAAGTCGCTTCGCCGAATAACTTGTTTTATTCAGGAGAGTCGTTTTGTAAAAAGTAATTTGCGGGTCCGTTAGCACCGGCGAGCTGAAGGTCTTTCCGCCTTGACGGTGCCGTTTATAATTTCGACAATAGAATTAGTGACTTGGAAACGTGGCCAGCATCAGTAAAAGGTGGGAGGCTATACAGGGTGGGCCAATAAACCGGACAGTTTTCAACAATACAGTACACTTCACGTACTGCACATATTTTAATGGGGTTTGCGGCATTTGAAAGAGGAATGAATAAGCTGTAAAATGACATATTTACCTTTCAAATATCTTCAGCAGTTACAGAAATTCGGGAGCTCGTATGAACGACAAACAAAAACTGAGTTGCCGCGCTCTCAGAGGGAGACGGCATGTGACCTTTAGTCATGAAGGCCGCCGCCTGTCCAACCCTGTCCTTTCCTGCGGCAACGTAATTTTTTCTCGGTGTTTATGTGAGTTCCCGAATTTCTGAAACTGTTGATATTTGAAATATAAACACACCATTGTAAAGCATATTCATTCCTCTTTCAAATGCCGCAAACCGCATTAAAATATACGCAGTGAGTGCAATAGAGTGTATCGTTGAAAACTGTCCGTTTTTTTTTGGCTCACCCTGTATATTCAATGCAAAAAAGGAACGGAATAGTATATTGGCGTTGCATTCATGAGGGTGCTCTGTGACCGCCACTAGGGAGAGAATGGATTTCGTAAAACGGTCATCTGAATTTCACGATCGTGCTCTCAACAAAGGAGAAATAGTGAACCATCGGATGTGACTTGAAGGAAGCCGCTAAGAGAAGCGGAAAACCCGTTGCTGTTTTGGCAAAGCAATTTTGGCAATGGTTTAAGAAAAAAAAGTATTCATAGCGCCAGGCTTTTATTTTCGAAACAGGCACCGAGGATGCTTGTTTTTATTTTGCGAAACGGTACCTTTTCGAGGAAACAGTCGTTCGGCGAAAAGGTCTCATCTGCGAAACGACTTTCTGTGAAACGCCCCTAACCCCGCTAGTGAGGTGTCATGGATTTACCAGTATGACCCGGAAACAAAGAGGAAATCTGTAGTTTGGGTGTTCCATGGGGACGACATGCCCACGAAGTTAAAGAGGGGAAGAAGATGGTTGTCACTTTCTTTCTTGTGGGCATGAGTGGTCTCAGTGGTCAAGAGGCAATAGTTTTATTGGAGGAATGAAAAACAATGAATGCTGAGTGGTACAATACTGTCTGCTTGCCCAAAGTTTTCCAAAAAAGTACTGGGGAAAAAACCACGCCCTGGGCTCCGGGGCCTCCAGCATCACAAAAATTCTTCCAGCCACACGGCAGCAAAGAGTGTGGCCTACCTGAAAGAAACTCTTGTTCGCCTGGTCAACCATCCACCCTATAGTCCTAATTTGGACCCTTACGACGACTTTTGTTCACTCGAGTCAAAGATTCATTTCAAAGAAAGCGGTTTGCAAGTCCAGAAGATGCCGTCTTTGCCTGTGAGGAACCAGTTTCTGAGGCGTCAAAGGAGGAATGGCATAGAAGCTCCGAGAATAGTTGACACGAGGAAATGTTGTTTGGGGCGGAAGTGTTTGTGGAGAACCTCGAAAAGTTGAAGATGTTGAAATGAAACTTTGGTAATTTCTGTTTGCACATCCCAAAACTTTCTGAGTGACCCTCGCATCATCTTTAGTGCGGTCACCAGGCTCTCCTCTGTTGAGTCCAAAGAGTTATAATGGAAGCTCCACTACTGACGAGGGGGAGGGGCTAGGGTGGAGGGGGTAGGGGGAAGGAGTAGGGGGAGGGGGGTAGGGGGAAGGGGTGGAGAGGGGGATTACGATCGAAGGGCTCCTTCGCTATCGAGCAGTAAGCCATGTCATTGCATTTAAAGTTCGGATTCATCTAATCTTCATTGCTTGTGTGAGCCTCTGGATCTGCTTTGGCAAGTGAAGCACTTTTCAATAAATATTTAAATTATGCGGAACCTCCCTTGTATACTCCACAGCATGTAAAGACGTGTTCCAGTTGAGAGGGCATTCATTCCCCCTGGCTACATCGCTTCTCTTATGTTATGAGAGAAAATATCATGCATATATTTTCTACTTCGTTTTTAATCTCATTCGGCTTCCCTGCTCCAGTTCGGCGCGACGACAATGAAGTACGCCAGTACAAGAAAAAAAAATACCTCTCCACAATTTCTTTTTACTTATTTTCTACCCCCTGGGGACCATCTCCCATGTCCCAAAGACAGGGAGATAGCCATCCCACCTCCACAAATAATGGGCGCGCGATTGGCTGTCTAAAAAATACTCCTTCAATCAGAAATGATAGCTGTTGTCAATTGTTAGCTCAAGGTTTCTCGAACTTTCGCACTCAACGTATGATGTGTTCTGGCAGTATGTTACTCATTCTTATTAACTTAAGCTTAACGGTTCTCAAAGTGTCCAGAAATAAAGGGTCTATAATTATAATATAATGCCTATAATTTTTTGCAAGGTCTTGTCCATGATGATGATGACCTGTCAGGTGGTGAACATAAAGCAGACCCTCCCAGTTTCTATTATTTTTTACTGTTTTCTCTGGTCTCTCTGCCAGCGTTGGACCCCAAAGCTTTAGTCTGATAGTATGGAAGCATTCAAGAGGATTTCGGAGGTTCCAATGGTCCTTCTTCCACCGCCTTCAAAAAAATTCCCTCACCCCCCCCCCCCCCCTTCCAGCTCGACAAATTTCGGGGTTGATCCTTTCTGCTGAAATATCTTTAACCCTAATCCGGGCAAGGTGAGTCCGCTGGACCCACTACGACATATTTCGGTCTATTACTGTCATTATTTTTTTCGAAGAAAAATGAGCTTTCGTGACTTGGTCACCTTGTTCGTGCTCTTCAAAAATACAAAGAAATTTACAAAGAAATACATACCGTAACCGCAGCAAAAGGCCTTATTTTACATGTGAGTCTGACAGACTCACCTTGCCCGGAATAGGTTGTAAAAAATCTTGCCCGGATGAGGGTTAAAGCTTCTTGACCTGATAATGACCGTCAACGCACGTTTTGGAATTTTATTCCGGCCAGGCCTCCGGGACGTCAGTTTAGTGGACCTTCCCACATACTATGGTTATTTTCAGCACAAAATGCCTGTGGATATCTTTATTAGAAATCCATTTGGGAAAAAAAAACTGGAATCTTGTACACCCTTTGACTTGCCAACGGGCTTCATTGTCCCATTATCTAAAAGGTCGTTAGCAGCTAAAATGAACCGTTAGCAGCTAAAATAAAAAATATAAGAACCCAGCCAGAATTTTAATAGTAGTTTGATCTAGCCTGCAATTTCTTCACATGAAGATGTACTCTAGTGTGCCTATTTCTCTGCATTATACATGTGTTCTACCGGATGCATTTTGCATCAGTTCAGATTTTCCAAGCAATATCGGCTAATGCGAGTAAATTGGTGGTAGATTCCATTCATGGTGAAATGCGATGTCATTCAGCACCGAGCAGTGCTGTAGGTATGATTTATTCATTCGGAACTCAAATGATCCACATATGCATTTCAACGAGTCAAACAAATAGCAATTTCATAAGACGTGACTTTCTCTGCGTTCTGAGGATATGGATCAATGCGAATGCTTTCCAGAAATCGTGCTCTAGAAATGGTTTTCACCACAACGGAGAAATATTGTAAAACCATTTTTTTTCGCGGAGCGAAAATATCTTGGTTTTTGGAAAGTCGACCGTTTCGCAAGACTTGAATTCGCATTCCCGTCGCTCATTTCTTTACATTTGACACACCCCTTCCGTTTGCCACTGCGATGCTGAAGGAAAAACAAGGCTTTCTCTGGATTTCCAACTCCCCGCCTTATTTCAAGTTAACTTTGCTCAATTTTAATACATTTTTGCACGCCTGAACGAAACTTTAATGTCTATGTATGTCCAGAGTTTCGGAGCCACTTTGAATGAGTGCATGCATACACGTATGCATAATTTTTGCTTTTCACCAAGAATTTAATTCGTGGTACCCTAATTGGGCGTTTACTATACTTAGGCGAATATCGCGGGGAAAAAAAGCTTTACATTATGTTAGCATCTCGTTGCAAGGATTCCCCTTTCCTGATATCTCCGATGCACTGAGTAATTATTAAAATAACTCAAAATTTAAACCGCACCATGTAAGAGACGCTTTTTTGTTCCTGGATGAGAATTTTAATACTTTTTTGTTGCAAAGTTTGGAAGTATACTTTCGTGACAGCTCAGGAATTTGAGAGCCCGAATCCATGGGGGATAGTTCTGAATCATCTATGACTCATGAAGAAATTAAGTCCCGTATGGTAAAAATTCTACCTCAAAATTCCCTGCTTGAGAGGTTAAACTGCATCACTATCCGTGTTTCTTGAGCTGAAGTCCCAGATGGGGTGACATTTCAAAAGAGTGCAATAAAAAAAAGGGCAAACGTGAATAGGTCCGATGACTGATTGAGGGGGCAAGGGCTCAACTCTAGTCCCCATTAGTACACATAGGTTAGTATCCCGCCCACGACTCGTGGATGACGCCATTGGAAGGGAGAGATGCGATTGGTGGAGGTGGATGTGCGCAAGGAGTGCGGATCCTCATTCAAATAACTCATAACCTCCCCCTCCCTTTCCCTTTCCTGCCCTCTGCGTTTCTCAACTCATTCCACACTTTCCTCTCCCGACGATCTTATCACTTTTGTCGCTATCTTATCTTCCATCTCGGCACAAGACATCCCAACGGAACAAGTGAGTCGTCATCAATTAGGATTTGCATTTTGGACCGAGTGGATTCATGTTTCGCCTGATTCGGCAGGAGACAATCGGATTGTAACCTCTACTCCTAACAGACTTAAAATGTTCCCACTACATAATTTACATTTGAAGGCAGCATAGCCGTTTGGGAAAGAGTCCTGGAAGGGAACAAATATAAAATTCTGTAGTTATGCAACATTTGCGTTTACTTGTCGATCCGATCTTTTCGTCGTTCCATACACGATATGGTGAATTCACATGGTTCACGTCGATGCGTTGTTCTAAATACGTAGGTAGTTTGGATTTTCACGCTGGTGAGGAGAAAAATTGCTGAGTTCTGATTTTAATAATTTTACGATAAAAGTTTAAGAAAGCAGGGGAAAGCCTTGAAAACTCAGACCGATAATCAATCACCTATTCGTGTCCCAATATGACACGAAGAGGTGGTAAGAGGATGATCTTTCTCTTTCTTGAGAGGGAGTTGGACTTGTGTTCATATCCAGAGAGAATTCCACCCACCCCAATCCACCCGTACGGCCATTATTAGTTGGAGTCTGACCAGGCTTTCTCAGCTCACTGGTCTGCTCGAAACACGGTGTATGCTGGGAAGTGACCATAATTTTTTCTTCTCGATTTATTCCATTTACTGCACAAAAATCTGATAGATTGGGCAAGGGAGTGGGAACTAATTACTCAAGGCTGAAATATTAGCTTTTAAATGGAGGATGTCGCCAAATAAATTCACGACGGCAAGTCGTGTGGAGCCCGTCTCAAAGCCAATCAATTTTCAGCGTATGGTGCTAATCAGCCGTGCTTACTCGAAGAGAGGCCAGGAAATACAAACTCGACTGAAACATACATTTTGCACATCTATATATTTTCCGTTTCACAGAGAGAAACATGGCATTGTTTAGGATATTTCACTACGCGCTCCCCTTTCCCCTCAATCATCAATTTGTCTTCGTTCCTGCTTGTAGCTGTCTCTATTCTGTATATTCCGACTTCCTCATTCAGAATTGAATATACCAGTCTGCTACAAGAAGGGAAATCGGTTCATATCATGGGGCTGAGACAAAATGTTATTCCCTGCACTTAGAAGCGTTAGAACACGAAGTGCGACCATCNCCTTGACGGTCCATTGTAGAGTTGGCATCGGGCGTGTCTTTTTTCTCAGCGGCTCAGCTAGCTCTGCTGAGGCCTCCAGCATCCCATGACGTCATTTTAGGGCTGAGCTGCTCAGCGCTCCCATAGTTCGCTATGTTCCGCTGCCGGCTGCTTGCCCAAGAGTGACGTCATTCGATGACGTGGTCGTGCCTAGCCAACGCGTCTTTTTCGCTAGCAGCTGCTAGCGGCTGGAGAAAAAGACACGCCCCTCGTCTCCCGAGCTCAACGACTCGCTGTGCACGACCAATCAGGAAGAGTAAGCGTCGTCTGCTCCTACTGGGACTCCGTGTCCTCACATGTGCGGTGCTACATGCCAAAGGCTATTTTTTGGCGCTGAAATTTCCTAGGGTCATCGGCCAACCAATGCGACCTTATGCCCTCATGTGATAGGCCCGAGGGCAGGCTTAGGCTATTTAGGAGGGGTTAACGCCGCATCGGGGAGGATTCATCGAGTGGCTATCGCTCAGTGCGGTTGTCCCGAGGGAGTCGATTTCGGAGCAGCCACCAAGGGCAGTCACAGCTAGTCGGAACTAGCTGTCACACACACCCTAGGACTTCATCCTTCACAACAACCACGTGGCAATATTCATCTTGGACATAATCCAGTTACTTCCCCGCAGGACTTGAGGTGTTTCGTCCCCGTTCCTATTTTTCAATTGTTTTACTGCCTATTATGTTCCCAAATTGGCTGTTTATTAAACTCAGGGGCATTTTAAACCGAAGCTTCGAGTTCGTGGGACCCTAATTGGGCGTTTACTATACTTAGGCGAATATCGCGGGGAAAAAAAGCTTTACATTGTTAGCATCTCGTTGCAAGGATTCTCCTTTCCTGGTATCTCCGATGCACTGAGTAATTATTTAAATAACTAAAAATTTAAACCGCATCATGTAAGAGACGCTTTTTTGTTCCAGGATGAGAATTTTAATACTTTTTTTGTTGCAAAGTTTGGAAGTATACTTTCGTGACAGCTCAGGAATTTGAGAGCCCGAATCCATGGGGGATAGTTCTGAATCATCTATGACTCATGAAGAAATTAAGTCCCGTAGGGTAAAAATTCTACCTCAACATTCCCTGCTTGAGAGGTTAAACTGCATCACTATCCGTGTTTCTTGAGCTGAAGTCCCAGATGGGGTGACATTTGAAAAGAGTGCAATAAAAAAAAAGGGCAAACGTGAATAGGTCCGATGACTGATTGAGGGGGCAAGGGCTCAACTCTAGTCCCCATTAGTACACATAGGTTAGTATCCCGCCCACGACTCGTGGATGACGCCATTGGAAGGGAGAGATGCGATTGGTGGAGGTGGATGTGCGCAAGGAGTGCGGATCCTCATTCAAATAACTCATAACCTCCCCCTCCCTTTCCCTTTCCTGCCCTCTGCGTTTCTCAACTCATTCCACACTTTCCTCTCCCGACGATCTTGTCACTTTTGTCGCTATCTTCCATCTCGGCACAAGACATCCCAACGGAACAAGTGAGTCGTCATCAATTAGGATTTGCATTTTGGACCGAGTGGATTCATGTTTCGCCTGATTCGGCAGGAGACGATCGGATTGTAACCTCTACTCCTAACAGACTTAAAATGTTCCCACTACGTAATTTACATTTGAAGGCAGCATAGCCGTTTGGGAAAGAGTCCTGGAAGGGAACAAATATAATATTCTGTAGTTATGCAACATTTGCGTTTACTTGTCGATCCGATCTTTTCGCCGTTCCATACACGATATGGTGAATTCACATGGTTCACGTCGATGCGTTGTTCTAAATACGCTCCATCAAACCTAAAAGTGCGACCACTCCTCTTTTTAACGACTCAAGACTAAAATTATTAAAATGCTATTTTCAAATTCTTTCGTCCCCTTTCGGAACTTTTGAGTCTGGCTATTAGTTAGTGGATATCGTGTCCCAATATGACACGAAGAGGTGGTAAGAGGATGATCTTTCTCTTTCTTGAGAGGGAGTTGGACTTGTGTTCATATCCAGAGAGAATTCCACCCACCCCAATCCACCCGTACGGCCATTATTAGTTGGAGTCTGACCAGGCTTTCTCAGCTCACTGGTCTGCTCGAAACACGGTGTATGCTGGGAAGTGACCATAATTTTTTCTTCTCGATTTATTCCATTTACTGCACAAAAATCTGATAGATTGGGCAAGGGAGTGGGAACTAATTACTCAAGGCTGAAATATTAGCTTTTAAATGGAGGATGTCGCCAAATAAATTCACGACGGCAAGTCGTGTGGAGCCCGTCTCAAAGCCAATCAATTTTCAGCGTATGGTGCTAATCAGCCGTGCTTACTCGAAGAGAGGCCAGGAAATACAAACTCGACTGAAACATACATTTTGCACATCTATATATTTTCCGTTTCACAGAGAGAAACATGGCATTGTTTAGGATATTTCACTACGCGCTCCCCTTTCCCCTCAATCATCAATTTGTCTTCGTTCCTGCTTGTAGCTGTCTCTATTCTGTATNTTTTGCACATCTATATATTTTCCGTTTCACAGAGAGAAACATGGCATTGTTTAGGATATTTCACTACGCGCTCCCCTTTCCCCTCAATCATCAATTTGTCTTCGTTCCTGCTTGTAGCTGTCTCTATTCTGTATATTCCGACTTCCTCATTCAGAATTGAATATACCAGTCTGCTACAAGAAGGGAAATCGGTTCATATCATAGGGCTGAGACAAAATGTTATTCCCTACACTTAGAAGCGTTAGAACACGAAGTGCGACCATCGTGAAAGGTTAAAAGAAACACTTTCTAAAGGTAGAAAGATGGAAATGAAAATAGGCATCATGCTCGTCTCGCAGTAAAACTGGGCAGGTCACGAATCTCCCCAGGAAGCACATAACATTGATTCAACACTAAATTAGCATTGAATTAACAGCTGGACGTTGACTCAACATCCAGCCTTTGTTGATTGGATTTTGAGTCGATGTCCGAATTTCCAAAACTTGTTCAATGAATTCACACCCACAATCACTTCTTACGTTTTTTTTTAATCAACTTCATATTTCATATTCAATGACGGTGTCACCTGAATAGTGTGTAATGTGTTTTTTTGACCATCGAAAAACCGTTAGTGCAGAGGAAACAATGCAAAAGCGATGCATCGGAAAAAAAATTCAGTGTCACTCTAAACGGGGCACAATGCCACGAAAGAAAATTCCGGTACTCCATATTTTTTGCACCATGACGTCAACACCTATGCTCTCTACTTTCGTGGACGTCATGTCTGTGACTGCAATTAACAGAACTGCGTGAGGAGAAACGATTAATAAAGGATAATGCTGCCATTACCCGAATGACAGCATTATCAATTTCTATTTCCGATGACAGTATTATCCATTTCCGATGGCAATAGAGACGATTCCTCCCCATCTTCGATCTGATTGACGTATGAAGGATTTGGAGAAATAATTGATCGAGATAAAGCTTTTTTTCTCTTTCCGGGGATACTACTAGCTGACAAGATTCGCTAAATCTTCGGGGAAAGTCCTCACCTTCCAAGCAGTGATGGCGACAGTGAACTTTTGAGACTCGAGCCGACAAAGGATGCTTCCGGCCTTTTCAATCAAAGTTTTGATGAAATTTCTAGCCCCCATTGTCCTGATCCGATCCGTGTGTTGAAGCTTCCTCTTTCCGTCAGGAAAATCAGGTTCATAACGACTCGAATGACTCAAGTCGATGAGCGATTAGGCTAAATCCGTGTTCGGGGCGCAGGAAAAGTTTTCAGTCAGGCACGCAACGTGGTTGTGGATCCTTAAGGCTAAACAAAACCGATTAACGTCATCTGAAGGGTCTTCGCTATATGGAATCATTTAAAGG